AGAATGAATGATATATCATTGTTTCTTAAGCTGTGTTTCTTTTATTCTGCTTCGACTAAGTATGCTTCTGATATTGCACTCACTCTGTTGAGAGATTTTTTTTTTTTTTTTTTTTTTTTTTTTTTTTTAAAAAAAAAAAAGGAAGGTACTCTGCCTGAAGGTTCCTTATTTGTTTTAGTCTGAAGCAAAATAAATAAGAGGTTTTCCAAGCCGGACACTTAGGGTCCGAGGTGAGGTTTTTGCCTAGCCGGACGCTTAGGGTCCGAGGCGAGGTTTTTGCCAAGCCGGACGCTTAGGGTCCGAGGCGTGGATTTTACCGAGCCGGACGCTGAAGGTCCAAGGCGAGGTTTTTGCCGAGCCGGACGCTTAGGGTCTGAGGGGAGGTTTTTACCGAGCCGAACGCTTAGGGTCTGAGGCGTGGTTTTTGCCGAGCCGAACGCTTAGGGTCCGAGGCGAGTTTTTGCCGAGCCGGACGCTTAGGGTCCGAGGCGCGGATTTTGCCGAGCCAGACGCTTAGGGTCCGAGGTGAGGTTTTTGCCGAACCGGACGCTTAGGGTCCGAGGTGAGGATTTTGCCGAGCCGGATGCCTGGGGTCCGAGGCGGGATTTTTGCCGAGCCAGACGCTTAGGGTCCGAGGCGAGGATTTTGCCGAGCCGGACGCTTAGGGTCCGAGGCAGGATTTTTGCCAAGCCGGACACTTAGGGTCCGAGGCTGGATTTTTGCCGAGCCGGACGCTTAGGGTCCGAGGCGAGGATTTTGCCGAGCCGGACGCTTAGGGTCTGAGGTGAGATTTTTGCCGAGCCGGATGCTTAGGGTTTGAGGCGAATGAATTACTCCCCGGCGCTGAGCCTGAAGGAGGTTTTCATACATATATTCTTCTCTTCATCGTTTATTATATATATATATATATATATATATTTTTCAAACAACTTGCCGAGGACTCAAAAATGATAGGAGGCCAAGAAAACGAGTAACAATGGCTGCGAAGTTTCCTATTTGTTTACTTTGGAGACTTTCCTCCATTGATACTCCCTTCTTGGCAACCATACGTCATGGACTACGCATATATTAACCACATTTCCTTTCTATTTTTATCTGATGTGGGACAAAGAGTTTTAACCATAGGTCAAAACGCATGCTTTTTAATAACTTGCTTCCAACATTGCTTTGCATAAAAGCATAAAATTGCATAATCATAGTGTAGTATGAAAATTTCTTTGCATAAAATTTGAAAATTTCATATTTCTTTCTTTGCATAAAAATTTTCAAAATTTTTTCTTTGCAAAAAAATTGTGCTTTCTTTACATAAACATTTTGCATAAACATTGCTTAAGCATACTGCGACGCAAAATTGCATAATCATAAAATGATGGTATGGCCCCCATTTTTATGGAAAGAAACAAATAGAAGCAAAATAAAGTAAAGCATGGCTGACTGTGAGCTTACGCAGCCTTATTTGTGAAGAATTCTTAATAAAATTGACAAACTTAACTAATGAAAATACCGTTTAAGGTGTATTGCATTCCAAGGACGCGTAATGGGACGTCCGTCAGTTTCGGCCAAATGATATGCTCCCTTCCCCACTACTTCGATAATCATGTAGGGTCTGGTCCAATTAGGTTCCAGTTTCTTTACATGAGCTGTCTCTTGCTTCAGAACCCAATCGCCTACCACAAAGCTCCGGAATCTGACACGTTCGTTATAATTGTTGCGCAGCTGCTGCTGATATGAAGCAAGCCTAATTGCTGCAGTATCCCTTTTTTCATCTAGAAGGTCGAGACTATGTTTGAGCTGCTGACTATTATTTCCTTCAAACAAGAAGGATGTCCGAAGGGTTAGAATCGCCACTTCGATTGGAATCACTACTTCGGATCCATAAGCCATGGTAAAGGGACTCTCTCCCGTGGGCCGCCGTGGTATGGTTCGGTACGCCCAAAGCACCTGAGGGAGATTCTCGTACCATTTCATTTTGAGTTTCTCCAATTTCTTCTTTAAACAACTGAAAATGGTCCGATTAGTTATTTCAGCATGTCCATTCCCTTGTGGATGACTAACTGCAGCTAACTTTTGTATAATTCCATGCTCAGCAAAGAATTTTCTTGTACTTTTATTGTCAAGGTTCTTACCATTGTCCATCATAATGACTTTTAGGACCCCGAACTGGCAAATGATGTTGTTCCAAAGGAAAGTTTTTACCTGCTCATGGGTCACACTTGAGTAGGCCTCGGCTTCTACCCATTTAGTGAAATAATCTGTAGCCAGTAGCACATACTCTTTTTGTTCCACAGTCTTGGGTAACGGGCCCACCATATCAATCCCCTATTGTGCGAATGGCCATGGATTTGCCATTGCATGCAAATCTTCGGCAGGTTGATGCGTCATGGGACCGTGACGTTGACATTTGTCACACCTCTGAGTATACTCTTCTGCATTTCAGGCCAAGTACGGCCAGAAGTAACCTTGAGTCAGGACTTTATGCGCAAGGGATCTACCCCCAGAATGGTTGCCACAATCTCCATCATGGATTTGTTTCAACACCACAAGAGCCTTAGTAGGGCTTAAACATTTCAGGTAACGACTTGAAAATGACTTTTGGTATAACTGATTGTTAATGATGGCATATTTAGCTGCGGTGAGACGGAGCTTCCGTGCTTCGGACTTCTGGTTTGGAAGAACTCTATGCTTGAGGTAGGCTTCCAATGGATCAATCCAGCATGGTTCTCAAGGAATAACAGAAATTACTATTACTTCCTGTGAAGGGTTAATGCTGGGCTCGTCCAGGAAGTCAATCGGCACAATCCGAGTCAGATCTTCATTTGAGGATGACGCTGATGTGGCCAATTGATCTGCTTCGGCATTCTTAACACGAGGTACTTGATAGAATTCGATCTGATCGAATCCCCGTGCAACGTTCTCTACAACTTCTTTATATGCTTTCATTCTTTCCTCTTTGGGATGGTACTAACCTGTCATTTGATTTATAACAAGCTGTGAGTCACTAAAAACCTTTAAGCAATGTACCTGGAGGCTGCTAGCCAATCGAAGACCAGCAAGTAACGCCTCATACTCGGCCTCATTGTTCGTAGCCGGGAACTTCAAACAGATAGATTGCTGCAGCTTGGTGCCTTCGGGTGTTGACATTACAACGCCTACCCCTGCACTTGTTTGATTCGAGGAGCCATCGACTCGAAGTTCCCATTGTGGTTCAGGGTGTACCGGCTCTTCGGGAGTGTCTTCATATTCGAGAAGAAAGTCTGCTATGGCTTGTCCTCTGTGCGACACCTTTGGCTCATAAGTTATGTCGAAGGAACTAAGCTCGATTGCCCACTTGGTAATTCTCCCAAATAAATCGGGCTTAGAGAGTATACCCTGTATAGGATAGTTGGTAAGTACCACAATGCTATGAGATTCAAAATAATGCCGAAGCTTCCTCTTGGCATAGATCAAGGCTAAGATGACTTTTTCTGCTTTACTATATCGCGTCTCCGCATCTGTCATGATCTTACTTGTGTAGAAGACTGGATATTGCCTCTTTCCTTCCTTTCTAATCAATGCTGCACTTGTCGCTATATTAGAAATTGCCAAATACATAATAAAAACCTCCCCGGGTTTTGGAGCGGATAGAATTGGTGGTTCGGCCATGTAACCTTTCAACCGACTAAGGGCCTCCTGCTGCTGAGGTCCCCATATATCTTTACTCTTAGATCATATAGCATCGAAGAATGGTTTGCACTTATCTAATAATCGGGATATAAACCGTTGAGGGCTGTGATCCGACCGGTAAGAACCTGCACATCCCTGCGATTTTTTTGTTCCTGATTCTGGATGAGGGCCTTAGCCTAAGCCAGACTTACCTCTATCCTTCTTTTATTCACTATGTGGCCGAGGAATTGACCTGATGATACCGCGAAAGAGCACTTGGATGGATTCAGCTTCATGTTGTACTTCTTCAAGGTATTGAAAACTTCTTGTAGATGCTCCGGATGATCTTCTTTTTTCACACTTTTAACCACCATGTCATCTATATATGCTTCAACTGTCTTTCCCAGTAGATTATCGAATATCTTGTTGACAAGGCGTTGATAAGTAGCTCCAACATTCTTCAGTCCGAAGGGCATAACCCTGTAATAATAAGTCCCCTTCTCTGTAATAAAAGCCGTTTTTTTCTTCACCTTCGGGATTCATAGGAATTTGATTGTATCCCGAGTATGCATCTAGGAATGTTAGCCTCTCGTAGCCGGTGGTAGCATCAACCATCTGATCTATCTTGGGCAGAGGGAAGCTATCTTTAGGGCAGGCTTTGTTAAGGTTGGTATAGTCTACACAAACCCTCCATTTTCCATTCTTTTTTTGTACGACTATCACGTTTGACAGCCACTGTGGATATTGCACTTCTCGAATGAAACCTGCTTGTAACAATTTGCTCACTTCTTCAGCTATAATGTAATTGCATTCGGGCACAAACCTTCGGTGTTTCTGCTTAACCGGTTTGAACTCCGGATCCACCTTCAGACTATGGAAGAAAACTAAGAGATTAATCCCTACCATGTCCGAGTGATCCCACGCAAAGGCATTTGCATTGCTCCGGATAACATCAATTAACACCTCCTTTTCTTCGGATGTGGAGGAAGAGCCTACATAGGTAACCTTCTGAGGGTCGCCGAGGAAAACTTCTACGGCTTCAAGGGTCTCCTCAGTGGGCTTCGCAATTTCCTCTTCCTCCTCTACCTTAAGATACTTGGGCAGAGGGCTCTGTAATTGCTATTTGGGTCCAGTTTTGCAAGTCATACCTGGTTGCTGTTGAGTCGACACCCTCTTTGCTTCAACTTGTGTCAACATATAGCATTCCTTCGCTGCGACTTGATCGCCCCACAGATTAATTACTTCTTTCCCATCCGGAGATAAGCACCGCATCACCTGGTGAAGGGTGGACGGAACTCCTCTCATCCGATGTATCCAGCCTCTTTCCGTGATGAGATTGTAAGAATGATGGATCTCTGTTAAAACAAATTTCCCTTTAGAATCCTCTTCGCCGCGGTTACAGACAAGTCTATTACTCCAAGGGGATCTACTCTTATGCCATCGAACCCCATCAACGGGCTGGAGGTAGGTCGAATAGATGATGACGGGATCTCTAGCTGCTCAAAGACCGTCTTTGTGATTATGTTGGCGCTACTTCCTGGATCTATCAAAACCCTCTGGATCATACAATTAGCCACTAAAAGACTGATAACCAATGGATCGTCGTGGGGGAGTTGAACTCTAGATAGGTCGCCATCTCTGAATCCAATACTGATGCTACCCGAAGCGATATCACTGACCGAGGCTATCCTCCTGAGCTTGTAGGCTGCCCTCAGTCTAGATCTGTATACATCCTCGGACTCTTGATCATCTTCAGACCTGCCATGTATTGCATAAATGACTTTTACTTGCGTACCTTCCACCTTGCGGGGATAGACCTCGCGGGGCTTTGCATATTCCTTTATCATAAGGTAATCTGTTAACTCACCTCTGGCGATCATATTCTCCACCTGTCGCCTAAAGGATCTGCAATCATTGGTTGAATGCCCATAATCTCAATGATAAGCGCAATGCTTGCTTTTGTCCATTTGCTCTAAGGGTTGCTTTATTGGCTACGGAGTTGTGAACTTCACCTTATTCTCTTGGAAGAGCTGAGCCAAGGTAGTTCGGAGAGGTGTAAATCCTTCCTCTACCCTTTGCCTTTTTTCAGGTGCCTGGGTGATCGGCGTTGAGGAACGTTGGCTTTGTTGAATCTTTGGAGTTGGAATTCTTTCTCGAGGCTTGTTTTCCACTGTCACCAGGGTGGCGTACTGCGCTCGGTGGGCTATATTTTCCTCAAGCCGAATGTAGATCTGGGCCCTGGCATTGAGAGTCTGCATGTCAGGAGGAGAATACTTGACTAAGGAAGTGTGGAACTTCGTCCCCTGAATCATTGCGAGTTTAAATGTCTCTATAGCAGTTGCGGGATGACAATCCGCTATTTCTGAGGCTTCCATGTTGAATCTTGACAAGAAATCCTACAGTGTTTCCCCCCTTTTTTGCCTTACGATGAAGAGGCTGGCAATGCTCTTCTTTTGCTTCTTATTTCCGCAATACTATGGCAGGAACATGGTGCATAGAGTTACGTAATCCGGGATGGACTTATGCGGTCTATTCCTGAACCACTCTAGTGCTGCTCCTGTCAAACTGGTAGGAAAAACTCTACACATCCAAGGGTCATTACGATCATCCAAAGCCATCTTTTGAGCGTAATGATCGAAGCGCCGAGAAGGATCCCCTGTTCCATCAAACTGGATGAAAAAAGGCATGGTAAATTTCTTGGGCCTCTCAACCAGATATACATCGTCAGTGAAAGGAGTTTTGACCAAGGAATTTTTGTGTGCTCTAGCCATCTCGGCAGGTGTCTGAATCTTCAGGAGTCTCTTCTCGTCAAAGGCATCCTGGACACCTGCACCATCTGGGATTCCATTGGACCACACCGTAAGTTTATTGCTGGATTCGACTTGCTCATCCTATGTGCGACGAGGGACGTTATCTGAAGCCGCAGCCTCGGAACTTGCCCTCCGTTGTTGCTGAACCTCATTCGGCTGAGCCTAATTAGGTCGTGCCCTATTAGGTGGAGCCCCATCAGGCGGAAGTCCAGTAATCGGAGGAATATTCTGACTAGGGGGTGCTGCTGTGTCACCCACTGGTGGCGGTGGTGCCAACTGAGCCAGCGCCGTTTGCAGAGTGTTATTCTGCTGTTGAAGCAAGGTGATCTGAGCCACGCTTGCTTCATTTGCTTGACGAAGTACGTTAAACTAGTGTAGAAACTCTTCACGCATCTTCTGCATCAACTCCGTCTGTTGATCCGTTGAAGATCCTCCGTTCGACATTCTGGATGGTAGCTACAGGATTCACTTGTGAAACAAAAAACAAGAGTGGGAATATATTTGCACACACTTCCCACAGACGGCGCCAAAGTGTAGGTGCAAAATTTCGCCCAACCAATAATAATTAGGAGAAATAACACAACTCACTCAATAAACAATAAAAATAAACAAGGACAGTATGTAGAGAAGCGTAGAATTGCTTTTTTTTTCTTTATTGGAGGTCTAGGCCTCTATTTATATACAAAAGTTAGAAGAATTATGATAGGACTCGCGTTGCTTGTCCTCTAATTCTTTCCATATACAAATTTATTAACAAATAGAATTCTTTCCTCTTTATAATTCTTCCCTTACCAGATTTTCCTTACACAGAACTTGCTTCCTTTGGTGAATCCTTTTCCTTGCAGGACCGGCTCCTTCTTTAAATGGATTTGTGCGGCATTTAACTTGGTCCACATGACTCTGTTCATGGGCTAGAAGTTTGTCATTAGTGACATTGGGCTGCTGGCATCGTGATTCGGGCTTCAGTAAAGCTGGTAGTTAACTTTATCAAAGATAAAGTTATATTTATGATGACGTGGACTGCTCTTATTGGAGGGAGATTTTTCCCTCCACATACATATATATATATATATTATTTATCTGCATTATTTACAGATTTTGTAGTTCTACCTTTGTAAGGAATTTGCATGGATAGGACACTCGTTAAGCATTGAGTTTGGGTAATATATCCAAAGAAGTTGATAAAACTTTACTAGCTGTAAAGCACATCAAATGGATAGTTGTCATTCAATGGAAACTTGGAAAAAGAATAATTATAATTTGTAACGCAACTGATTCCTAATCTAATGTATTTAGTAAAATTATATATTCATTTAGGATAAGTTTTAGTGGGCTAGCTAGTCTAAACTAATCTCTTTATTATGGTTAATTGAAATAAAAAACCTATCCGATTCGTAAATCTTACAGATTTTCGTGTAATTTTAAATATTTGTGTGTATATAAATTTTTGGTGTAATATTAAATTGGCTAACGTTGAAGGATGTTGATGGAAGGACTGTACACTTTGGAAATTATATTGAACTCTGACGAATTTTAGTGATGTGCTCTTTTAGTGTAATTTTAAATATTTGTATGTATATAAATTTTTGGTGTCATATTAAATTGGCTAAAGTTGAAGGATGTTGATGGAAGGACTGTACACTTTGGAAATTATATTGAACTTTGACGAATTTTAGTGATATGCTATTTCATTTCATTAAATTCATCGTACAGTAAAGGTTAAGACTTCATTTGTTTAAGCGTAAGAACTTTTTCTTGTAAAGTGGTTTTTATGTAACACTTTTTCATGTAGAATGTTTCCTTTATTTTTTATTTTCCGTGTTTGACAAATATATTGAAAATATTTTTCAGAATTTTTTTTTTTTTTGGTGTACGACTTCTAAAAGTATTTTTGAATTAAAATTAAAATTCTTATTTGAGTCATTGATTATCTAATTATTTTTATACCAATAATAATATTATTTGAAAACATATTTAAAAAAATAATCAATTAATTTTTGAAAATTCAACAAGTGAATATATGTATACATATATATATATATTCTCCACTTTACGTATAACTTCTTAAGATTTTAAAAAGTAAAACTAAAAAATTAATTACTAAGCTAATAATAATGACAAAAAAATATAATAATAAAAAGAAATTTATCAAAAATGGAAAATTATTGTTAATGAGAGATAGGTATTGAGTTTACTGACTATCCTCTATCGCATGTAGAAAAGGACTACTCTCTTTGAAATGTCCTCGATATATCAATTTTCCTTCGTCTTTGAAATGCAGCCTTTTAAAGTTTTGGGTCATGAGCCCTTTGTTCTAAATACCCTTTGTAAGTTTGAATTTTATTTTTATTTTTTTATTTTTTTATTTGGTGTTCACATGAGACTTCAACTACTGACCTTTGTTTAGAAAGTAAAAGATCGATATCACTAAGCCACTGACTCGGTATAAGTTTGAAGTTTTGCAAATACTAAGAGTTTGGTTAAGTTAATGTGGCCTTTCATTACCTTCTAATTTTTTTTGACTCACTCTTCGTCGTAATAGAGAAATGTCCTTAAACTCAACCCAAGTCACACATGCCTCATCTCATTGCCAACCACGAATGGAGGTTTCTAAACTCCACTCAAGTCAACCGTAACTCATATTCCATCTCAACCCGAGTCAGCCGCGGATTGGTTTGATTGGTGGCAAGTTAGTATGAAGATGTTGAATTGGCGGCCCAGCTATGTTGGATGTTGTGTTAGGCACGAAATGCAGTTATTTTCTCAAATTAGAGGGAAATTGAGGCATTGGTGGTGGTTCAACGAGCTGAGACTCGGTGTGAAACAGTGAAGGGTGCAGGTTTGTCCTGTTGGGGGGACACCTCCGATGGGAGTACTGATACAGTGATAATGTCTTTAGTAACTTATTTTTGTGAGTTTGTGATTGGGTTCAAGATTTTAAAAAAAAAAATTCATCAATTTCCCGTGTTGAACCAAATATCACCACAAAAAAATAAATAAATAAATAAATAAATTAAATTTCAATGTTAGAAGATCCATCCTAATCATGTACTAACACAGTAATAATGTACTTGTGTTTTTAATAACTTATTTTTGTGAATTTGTGATTAGGTTCAAGATTTAAAATTTTTTTCATCAATTTCACGTTTTGAACCAAATATCACAACCAAAAAAAATAAATAAATAAATAATATTTAATTTCAATGTTTGAAGATTCATCCTAATCATGGTTCGCAGTGTCACGATCGCGGTGCAACAGACTCAGACAAAATCAGTATAAACTGGTATATTCGAATTTTTGGGGCGTGACACAAATCACATATCAGATGATACGGTGAACCATGATCCTAATATATTGGTGTCTATTCTTTCTTGTATTCGAATTTTTGGGGCGTGACACGAGTCGCATACCAGATGATGTGATGAACCATGATCCTAATAAGTTGGTGTCTATTACGGTGAACCATGATCCTAATATCTTGTTGTCTATTCTTTCTTGTATTATGATAATTTATTTATTTATTTTATTATTATTACTATTTTTACCATGAAAATACAAACAAAACAACTAAACCATAACCTATATCAATATGACTTTGATAGCTTCGCAAGTGCATGAGCAACTTTTAACGAAAATAAAAAAATAAAAAAGTGCATGAGCAACTTGATTGCTAGTATGGACGGAAACAAACGTCCTAAACCTTAATTGATAGCCTTCGAATTGACCCATCACAGCCTTATAAACCAACAAAGAGTGATACTCAATCCAATCAAGTCTTGTCTTAGATGGCTAATTTTGTGCAACTTTTTTCACCTGTGATCTATTTCGTACATGAAAAATGAAGCCAAAAAACTAAAATATGTACTACTAGAGGAAATAAAGATGGTTAAAAAAATATAAAACATTACAATGAAAAAGAACAATTATGGTATTATAAAATAAAAGAATGTGCATCAATGAGTTTAGAGAACTTCTTGTATTACTTTAAAAGAAGAAGAAAAGTAGGGTACAATCGTGGAACCCTAATAATAATAATAATAATAATAAACATTTTTATTTCAAGTTCTTAATCACCGACAAGATCAAACTTTGTATCTCTATTTCATAAATTAAGGTATCCCTCACTATGTAGCCCTTTGATGCGTCACGGAGATTCGTTAGCAACATGAACTCATGGACACCCCAGATCGTTTTCGAGGCACAATAACAGCAGCAAACTGCAAATAAACGATTATTCAACAGGAAGCTTTTAGTTCAACAAAAAAGAAAGTACATATATATATATATACATTGTTATCAAATTTTAACTGAAAAAGCTTATGCGAGAAATTTTAAAAAGAGCTAGTGAAAATTTAAAAATGGTTTCACCTTGAAATTCAATATTGTTTTTGTTGTCGAGTTGGTCTTTTACACGCAGCTTGAATGTTGCATCTATTTTCCAATTCTTAGGAAGTTTCCACCAATCATCTATTTGGAGATAGAGGGACAAATATTTGCCATAAGCACTAGTTCTACTGTTTCCATTGCGATAGGTCATCATCTTCCTGAATTCAATACAAAAATTCATAGATATATATTATAAGATCTATAGATTTTATACAAAATTTAAAAATAAATAAAGAATATCATGACTAAAAGAAAAGCTCATACCATTTTTGTTCTTTGATTTTAAACTCATGACTGAGAATTGAGTATTTCCTAGAAAATCTATCAACCTTGAAAGCGTGACAAAATGGGGTTGTAGTTCCTTTTTCATGGAAAGACACTACCCTTTGCCTCCATATTTAATAACAAAAACCTCGGCTCCAAATACACTACAATCATTTACAAGGTACCCGTTGGAAGGATTTTTGAATGTATCCAGTGAAAGAAATTGATCAAAACCCCATTCCGTCTTCATGCTATGGAAGCGCCTTACTTGTCCAACATCTATATATATATATATATATATATCTATAAATTTATGCATATAATATAAGTACAAATTTCCCAAGGTAACATGAAATTGATAGATCAATTTGTATGTGCGTTATGAAAAAACTAGTTACCTTCGATGGCTAAGTACTTGTCACATATATGATCAAAGACAAATAATGTGAATTTCACATTAGCCTCCCAGTCACCACGAATTTTTGTTGTATTAGCTAATTGCAGGTAGAGTGAGACGTGATCTTTCACATCCCTGTTCTTATTCCCACCTGGATAGAGAGACAATTTCCTGTAAACCGTAAAAGAAAAATAATTAATTTTTAATTTTTTTTTTGTTAAAAAAATAATAATAATAATTAATTTTGTTAGTAGACAATATATATAAACAAAATAGAGAAATTAAAATTCAAACACACCATTCATAACCGCCGGCTTTAAAAACTTTTGATTCATATTTCTCTAGTGCTCCCAGGAGTACTGAGAAAGATTCTATTTTGAATATATAGTCCGCCGGTGAGATATCTCTTAACGATCTTGTAACTTCTGTTACAGTTTGAAGAAAAAACCAAAACAAAACAATTATAGCAATGTTTAATTTTTTGTGCATGCATGCATGTATAAATATAGATTTATTTATTTACCAATAATGAATGTGATGTAAAGGTAAAAGAAAATAAATGACTTACCGAAAGGAGATAACGATTCACCTATACTTTTCCAAAACCTTCGTCGCTTGTTTTTCTAAAACATGTAATTGTCTATATATATAAATAAATAAATAAATATATATATATATATATATATATACACTATTTGTGAGATATTATTTTTGGCAATTATTGTAAATAAAACAAGTCCAAGTCAAGTTGTAATTCAAATTACTTATTCGGCAAGTTATCAAGTTCGACAGCAACTACAAAATTAGGAAGTTGTTCAAGTTACCATAATTAAAGATGATATTTCATTCAGACTTACCATATATAGTGTGTCAAGCTTAAAAGAACCATATTTCAAGTTCTGACAAACTTAAACCGGTTCAGTTCCTCTGAACCCGTTCAAGACTTCAAGATTGGATTCGAAAATTCTTCTGCCAGACTTGAACCGGTTCAGTCCCTCTGAACCCGTTCAATGTATCCTGTTTACAATACAACTTTCAATTTCCTTTCCTAAATTGTTTCCCAGTTGGTCTAAAATTGTACCAAATTCTATGCAAGAATTTTTCCTTATTTTCAAAAGGATTATGTTATTCTATATTCTATATAAACCATGTCATATATATTAGTTTATGAACGGCTTTTGCATTATTAGATTATAATTCTTAAAAAGTCTTAGGAAGATTTTTGTCTCAGTAATTGTTAGAGAATTTTCTGTTTATCTTTCTAGAACATATACACATAAACACTTAGTGAGTTTAGAGTTGTGTTGTGTTGTTCGAATCCTGATCGTAATTCGAGAAGTGTCGTCTGATTTACTTTATACTCTTGTGAGCTAGAATCAAAATTCAGTGTACTAGTTTTTTCCCACTTTCGCTTTATTTTAACACACAAGATCTGTTTTTAAAAATAATCAAAACTTTATTTTCCGCTGTACAACTCACACTATTTATCTGCATTAATTTGCAGCAATTGTAGTTCTATATTTAAAGGGAGATTGCAGAGAGATAGGACACTCGTTAAGTTGATGTTGATTAGAACTTTACTAGCTTTAAAGCATTGCAATTTTGTCGCCCCATCCATTTCCACTCTGCCCAATTCCTAATGGAACAGGTATGGGAACTCTTTTTGTTCCGTACAGGTAGTTTTGGCAAAAAAAAATAATAATAAAAATAAAATTAAAAAATTAAAAAATTAAAAATTAAAAATTAAAAATTAAAAAATTAAAACGAGGGTGGGGTTGGAGTTTGATTTAAACCAACTATATATATCTTTTATTATTATTTATTATTTATTTTTTATAACTATATATATATATATATATATATATCTTAAGTTCTTAGTAAAGTAATCTAACCTATCAAACCTTCAGGGCTTACATTTTATTCATTTGGGACTCAAACTCTCACTAACCACTTTGAAAGTGAGATAAGATACCATCTGATTGCTCTGAGAAGGGCTTCCAATTTTTCAATAATTGTTTACTAGCAATGTATTTTGTTATCCAAATAAATAACAAAATTAAAATTAAAAAAATACAATAAATTTTTTTTTTTAAAAAAAAGTGTAAACGGAGCGGGACCTGGGTTCGGCTCACTTAGCTTCCAACAAGAGGAGAGTTGTATGAAATTTTCATTAATTAAACGGCCGGGTTTAGGCGAACCGGTTGCCATTCCTTGATAACTTGGAAATGATTAATATACAAATTGGTGACGCAAATGTATCCTAATCTAATGTTTTTAGTAAAATTATATATATTTATCGGGATAAGTTTTAAATGTTTGAGCAATGTATATAAATTTTAATTTTAATATTGAATCTGAAGCAGTCTCAATCCCAGCCCAGAAAGGGCTCTACCCTTCGGAAATTATATAAAACTTGAAGAAACTTTAGTCTATGTTTTCTTTTATTTCATTAAATTCATCCATGATAAAGATTAAACAGACCAGACTAAAATATTTGTGAGATATATTAGCCGAATTTTTTTTATTTGGGTCATAAAGACATCATATTATAGTGGGCAACCACCAAATTCGATCCTTAAATCTTTATTTCTTTCTACTATTTTTATACCAAAAGTTGTGTGTGTTCTCCTTCTTCATGTTGAGGGCCCTCCTACAACAAATTGGTATCAGAGCCTCCTACAAATTGGTATCAGAGCCTGAATGATAATCCGAAAGTCGGAATGGTGGAGCAATTTTGAAGCGTGAAGCAAAATAATATATGGCTCGTGAAAAATCAATTGAAAGAAGATTCAAGGAGGAGGTGATTTTGGCACCGAAAAATGAATGAAAAATTAATTCTCTCAAATTATGCCTACTGGAGCAATATCATTTTGGTTTAATTTAAAGCCTGTGGTTTTTGGTATGATATGATAAAAAATCCTAAGTGTTTTAAGCTAAACAAAATTCAAGCACAGAAAAAAGATACTGAAAAATGCAGTTCATCAAGAAGTTTGGAAGCATGTTGAAAATTTGAAATCTCCAAGTCAGGTATAGAAAAAGCTTGAATTTATGTATTTATCTCATTATAAATTCAAATCAGTATCCACTGAATATTGATTCCCAAATTACGATGAAGATGGATTTTTTAAAGAAAAAAGTTGGGAAGATGAAAATGAAGAAAATTTTGATGAGATAGAAGAAAAAGAAGATTTTGAAAAGGTGGAATGTACGAATATAGAATTTGATGAAAAAAGCAAAGAGATGCAAGATGAGAAAATGGTGACAGTGGAGTTTAAAAAAGAAGGAAGAGAAGGAGTTGATGTTGATGAAGAAAAAATATTAACAGATGAAAATGAGAAAGAAGAATAATTAGATATTGAAGACACTGAAGTTGTCACTAAAGAAAAAATCAAAGGAGTTGAATTTGGTGAAGAAATTGGAATATTAAATCTTGAAAAAGAAAATAAATTCTTTGAAATTTTTTGTGAAACAAAAAAGTGTTGCACGGAATATGTTCAATTGGGTGAACTTATCTTAGAAGTAAAATTGAGGAATTCTCATATAGAATATTTCTCAAGTGATATGACATAGGTGAACATAGAAGCGTTCTTTGATTTAAATGAGCAAGTCAAAAGTAAATTTAAAAAGTGTGGAAATTTTCAAGTGAATCTCAAGAACAACATTGGAAATCAATTTCAAGGTCAGGTGAAGAAAAGTACTAGAAGCATAAAGAAGACAAGATACAAAGCTTGTACATCAAAGGAGATTGCAAAGAAGATTTTTGCATTTGAAAGCATTGGAAATTTGATGCATGTAACGGCGACAAGGCTCAATATAATGTTTGTGGGGAAGATCCAATCCCTTATGAATTGCAAAGAAGAAAAGTGGAAGAAGCAATGAATGAAGATATCAAAGCTATTGAAAAGAATGACACATGGGAGTTGGTTAATCTGTCATCAAACAAAAAGACTCTTGCTAGAATTTTATTCAAGAAGAATCTTACAAAGTTGGGAATGAAAACCAAATTTGGTTTACGGGAGGCATTGTTGGAAAAATAAACCAAATACATGAACTAACTCAAGTATTGAATACATGAATCAACTCATGTGTGAAATATACATACACTATCTCATTGGGAGATGAAACACTTGTGTTAAACTTATTATTTTATTTATTGTCTTGTAATTTATGTCTTTCTAGAGTTATGTATTGGTGCCTATAAAGACATATTCTTAAGTTCTTTTGTAAGTAAGAAGTGAGAAAGAAAATATATCAGAATTGAGAGTTTTATGTAAAAGTTGTGTGTGTTCTCCTTCTCTATTTCTTCCTCTTCCTCGGACACCTTGATCACTTCTTGTTCCTCTTGAACCTTCTCTAAAAGAAGTTTGAGCATGAAATGCTTGTTCTAGAGGTGTTGAATCAAAATTATTTAATCGAAGCTTATGAGATTGGAGTGATCCCATCAAGCTATTTATTGACAAAGTCGACAAATCTTTCGACTCTTCAATTGCTACAACGATGTGTTCGAATTTTCTGGGCATACTTCCGAGGATTTTTTCAACAATTCTTTGATCTTGACTATCTTCTCCATTCACCTTCAATTGGTTAGTGATAGAAAGAATACGATTAAAGTATTCTTCTACACTTTCAGAATCTTTCATCTTAATCGTATCGAATTCAGCTCGAAAAGCTTGCAATCTCATCACTTTAACTTTATCTTCACCCTTATAAGTGGCCTATAACGTATCCCACGTTTGCTTTGCTGAAATGTCCATCGAGATTCTTTCAAAAATTACTTCATCAACTACTTAATAAATGAACAATAACGCATTCCTTTCCTTCTTTCGATTCTCCTTCAACTCATTGAGTTGTGCTTAACTTAGCCTCGCTTGATTCTTCGGTTCTTCAAAACCGTTTTCAACAATTTTTCATAAATCTTAGGATCCATACAACACCTTTATTTGTATACTCCACTGATTGTAATTCTTCCCACTAAACTTGGGAAGTTGGGCTGCAACATGTTGTTAGACGCCATTTTTCTTTATCGATCTTATAACAAGGCTCTGATACCACTTTATTGAAGTGAGTGTTTCTCAATTGTGTGTTTACTAATTCAGTTGAATATATGTGAGTGTATCCCATTTCTGTTCATTTGTCCACTAACTTCAACATTTGTGACCCAAATTTTATTTCGGCTCAGATCGTAACAACGCTTTGACCCAGCAAGAGATTCAAGATTTACATTTCCTTTTGCATGGGTTGTGTAGCATGATAATTTTAGTTGTATTTTTTCTTTTATATCTAAGAAAATTTTCTTTTGATTATCGCTTTCATTTCCTGGTCCAATTCTATAGTGAATGAGGTCTTCAACCACCATTTTAATCTATAATTAAAGAAATTTTATAATCTGATTTGGCGTGTAAGCTTTTTTTTTTTTTTTTTTCTA